ACTTACATTTGACTCTAAGGTCAGCAAGGTAAACAGGTTAATACAAAGGTTTTCAGAACTTCCTTTGATTCAGAATTAATGTACAAAAACTGACATGGTGATGTGATGGTGACTTTTCCATTAAAAATCTTGGTTTGGCGTAGTGCTTCGTACCTGTAGTACCAACACTTTGGGAGGCTGAGTTGGGAGGATTGCTTGAGGCCAGGAGTTTGAGACCAGCCTAGGCAACACATTGAGACCTCCAGCTCCACAAAAATAAATCTTTAATAAGAACAGGTAAATACTGTCTTTCGGTGATGACCAAATCAGTATACATGGAAAGTTTACTGAGTAGTTATTTAGAAGCTCAAGATATCTGAAAATAGAACAGTAATTTCCTTCCTGGTTCAACCCTTAATACCAACCAGGCATTTCTAAAAGGCAATGTTGTAAGCTGAGGTAAGAAACTTGGGGTTACCTTTAACTCCTTTGCCAACTATGCTCTCATTTTTTATCTGTTAAATAGCAAAATATTCTGAAGCTCAAAATCTCAGCCATTTTTCTCCTGAGTCATGTCTGTTCTAGCTTTATAATATTTTCAAAGCTGTTCTTTCATTTTTCAATTCCTATAACATTATTTAGTTCAAGTTCTCCATGCTTTTGGACTTTACTAAACTTTATCACTATTTATTGAGTTTGTCTTCAAGGTACTCTGGTGAGTACTGTGGGAAAGCACAGGAAAAAAGAGATGAACCTTACTTATCGAATGCCTACTGTACGCCAAATAATAGATTATTATTTCAGTTTTTTACTACTGCAAGAATTTCTCATAAAGCTCTGGATATTGGGATTTAAAGGAATTAAAATATGTTGCCACATGTGCTATTTGATAAAGGCAGATATTAAACCTTGGTTTATCTCATACCCTTTCCCTTACATACACATAGCTGTTCCACACATTGGGAGTAAGTGAACAAGACAATTGTTAATATTGAGGACTTCATAATTTTGTAAAAACTGATAGGCAAAGGACTATGATGCAAGACAAAAATGTGTAAAGTGCTGTAAGACATAAGAAGGTATAATGTGTTCTTGGTGAGGGGTTTGTGGAGAAGAATGGATTTTGAATGAACCCTTAAAGAGATGGGTAAAATTTAGGAAAAAAAAAAAAAAAAACAAGTAAAGAAAGGGTATTCCGGAGGACAGAAGAGCATTAGAAAAGGCACTTCTGCTTTAGCTAAAACAAGACATGCATAAAGGTAGTGAAAGACAGTGCTAAAGGTGGAATGACACTAAATCATAATATGCCTTATTTGGACATTTGGATTTAATTCTGCAGTCAATAGGGGAAGAAAAAGAGACTCAACATGGGGATATTGTTAGGAAGCTGTTGCAGGCAAGAGATTATTGGGCTGCACCAAAAGAGTAGCAGAGCTAACAGAAAGGAAGGGAAGAATATGAGAGATATTCTAAAGCTGGAATCAAAGGAATTTGTGATAGCTGGGAAGAGCAGAGAGAAGAAAGAGAGTGGGGGCAGAGACAATTCTAAGTAAGGCCTTGATCCTGGGTAAAGTTATCTTTGACAGAGAAAGTAAGGAAGAGGAAAAAGAGTTGTTACTGTTGATGTTATCCCCCAGAAGGAGGGAAGTAGGGAGTGGAACGAATAAGCATTAAGCATTCAAAAAGCAGTGAATTTGATTTGGAACAAACCCAGATTCTATCAAATGTCTAGTATCTTTCACATCTCTCCTTTCCTGTTGCATTCTTCTATGTGTTTAATTCCTCTATGTGAAGTTGGGTTTAAATAACTTGCAGATGTTTTATGTACCCTGAAATTCCTTACAAATTAAAATGGTTGGGCCCCTGAACTAATTGTGTACGTATCAAACTTCAGGACACGTGATGGGTAACAGGAACCACTAGAGGAAAGAAAGGTCGGTAGTGAACTCTAGGCATTTGTAGAAATCTTTCCTCAGAAAATTTTGACATCACCTCTCTTTTCACTTGCATAGTGATTACTATATATTTACTCATTACAAAGGTTGCAGCATTATATAGTTTGAAGAACACAGACGGTGATTGTTGTGGAGTAAAGTGAAATTATCTCTTCTTCTAACCTGGACATTGTTTTCATCCTTACCATTTTATTTTAGCATTAGTTATTTTTTAAATAGTCATCATATTACTGGTTTCTAATGACCTTTACAATTGTTAAAATCCTGGAGGTAGCACCTCTCTCCCCCGATATTGGCT